CCACATGTGGAGAGATTGCTTCAGATTGCCCTAAGGATGGACCCCTTCTCAAGGCGACAAGGGCAAAGGAGCAAGGGGAGGAAGAGGCAGAGGTCGTGGAGGCCGTGGTGGTCGTGGAAGCGAAGCGGCAAGCATGAAAGGTGGAGACTATGAGACGGGCCCGAGTGAAGATCGATACCCGGGCCAATTCTTCTGTCTCCATGCAAGCAGCAGCTGCAGCAGGAGGTGTGGAAGGCTTTGAGGACCCAGCTACTGTGGGAAAGGTCACCCTTGAGTCTCTGGACTTTTGGGTGATTGATAGCGGAGCCACCTATAGCATGACACCTCGTGCTGATGGGAAGATGTTGGGCCTCAAGAACGTGCTTTGGGTGCCCAACCTTGCAGCCAACCTGATTTCCGTGCGGCGTGGACACATCTTCCAAGGGATCCAAAACTTATACCGCGAGGCTTGGAGAGCGGAAGCTTTGGGACCTTCATGAGGACAGGGACATCTACAATGAGATGTAGCAAATCCCAGTGGTCCCCATGCCTAAGGGGAGGCAAGTGGCAGCAAGCGTCAGCACCAAGACTGAAGAGGTTGGTGGCGGTGATCACGGAAAGCAAAGTAACACCAAGAATGACTCGATGGAGTGCAATCTTGGAGGTACCAGCAAGACGTGTGAACCCAAGGAGAGTGGTGCAGCAGCTAAAGATGGTGGAAATGAGGAGGATAAGGCTAAGATCAGTAAAGCAGCAGTGGTGAAAGAGAAAGGAGAGAGCTTGTGGGGCACAATTGCGAGTGCCGCTTTCTCCAATCCGACTTCCGCTACAGGAGAGTGTGATTGGCTGACCTTGCATCGGCGAATGGGGCATGTGGCATTGCCCATTTTGCAGCAGATAGTTAAGCAAGAGATGGTCAGTGGGATACGTGTCAAGGGGGAGCCCAATGAGGTGCTTGGTTGTCCAACATGCATGCAAGCCAAGTTCACTCGCTACCCGTTCCATAGTTCGGAGACAACGGCGAAGGCACCACTTGATGAGGTGGTGATGGATGTGGTGGGCCCCTTGAAGCTTGGAGCTGCTGGAGCAGAGTACTTCCTCACCATTATGGATGTCTTCACTCGCATGACTTGGGCGTATGTGCTGCCTAAGAAGAGTGACGTACCTGAGACGGTGACGACCGATTGGTTACTACCTCAACCTTGACCGGTTCCGCTCTCATGCTAGGCGATGATGCGGAAGATGAAAGCGAGGAGTGTGCTTTTGCCTTCTTCTCTCTGGTGGAGATGCCGGGAGAGCCTACAAATCCCAAGGAGGCTTGGGAGGGCCCTAATGGGAAGGAGTGGAAGAAGGCCTCAGATGAAGAAATGGGGAGCATCATAGAGAACGACACATTTGACTTGGTGAACCTACCTCCGGAGTGGAAGGCGATCTCTTCCAAGTGGCTCTTCAAGCGCAAGACCGACGCCGACGGCAACATTGAGTGCTACAAGAGCAGACTTGTAGCCAAGGGGTACCAGCAGTAGGAGAAGAAGGAATACAATGAAGTAGATGCTCCAGTGGTTAAGGGTACAACCCTTAGAACTCTCTTCGCCGCGGCGGCCATTAAAGGATGGGTGGTGAAGCAAATGGATATCGTAACGGCCTTCCTCAATGGAATTTTGGAGGAAGAGACCTACATGGAGCAGCTAGAGGGGTACAATGATGGGAATGGCAGTGTGTGGAAGCTGAAGAAAGAACTCTATGGCCTCAAGCAAGCCCCTAGGCAATGGTACATCAAGCTGCGGGAAGTTTTGGAGGCGATCGGCTTCACTCCCTCAACGGCCGATCAATCCTTGTTCATGCTTGGCGAGGGGGAGCAGAGGAGCTTCATGGTGGTTTATGTGGATGACATCCTCATATTCTCACCCTCCTCTGACCTTGTGAAGGAGGTGATGGTGAAGCTCCAAGACAAGTTCAAGTGCAAGACCCTTGGTGACGTCAACTACTACCTTGGGCTTCACATTGAGCGAGATGTGGAGAAGCGGTGGATGCGAGTGCATCAAAAGGAGTACTTGGAGGACTTGTCTGCAAACGTTGGGAAGAGTGAAGGTCATGTGGCTACTCCTCTACCCTTGGGGTTCAAGTGTGTGAAAGGACCAGCGGAGGAAAGTGTTGGTGAAGAGGAGAGGCGCCGTTTTCACTCCTTGGTGGGCAGCCTCATGTATGCGGCCGTTCACACAAGGCCTGATGCATGCTACCGGGCAGCTGGCTAGGGTTGTCCAATGCCCTAGAAAGAGCAGATAGCAGCTGGAGAGAGAGTGGCCGAATACTTGGCCAAACAGCAACTGTTGGACTGCAATACTCCGCGGCGGCAGAAAGGCGTTAAAAGGGTGCGGATGGAGTCGAACCCGGGAGGCTCTTTCTCACGGCCTTCTCTGATGCATCTTGGGCATCAGAACCAGAGGATATGACAAGTGTGCTGTGAGGCTTCATCTTCTGTATTGGGGGAGGCCCAACAACATGGGAGAGCAAGAAACAAGTGGATCAAGCATTGAGCTCGGTGGAGTCCGAGTACATGGCACTTTTCCGTGCCATAAGAGAGGTTGTGTGTCAGCGGCGTTTGCTAGCTGAATTGGGGGAGGAGCAGCAAGGACCTACCCCACTCTATTGTGATAGCCAGGGTACTATTGCATTGGCTAAGAGCCCCGTACTTCATGGCCTTACCAAGGACATGAAGGTGAAATGGCATTGGGTGAAGAGCATGGTAACCTCGGGTGAAGTGGAGTTACACTACGTGAAGACGACAGCACAGCCAGCTGACATGATGACCAAGAGGCTGGTTGATCAGCAGCATTGGATGTGTTGCAAGCTTGCTGAGATGGCTCTGAACTAAGGGGAGCAGATTCTAAGGCCAACAATCCGAGGGGGAGTTTGTTGGTGCAATCCTATGGCTTGCACTCGGCTTGTCGTCCTCGTTCGTGTATGTGCATGCATGGGATGGAATGACTTGTAAGTCTATGTCATTACTATCTAGTGCTTGTGTGTGTGCTTGAATGGTGTATCACAATGTGGCTTGTGTCGGTCAAGACATTAGCGAGTTTTTACAGCTCGCATGTCAAGTCGTCGTTTGTGCGTCGCATGTGTTTTTTCTATTTTGTCGAGTGTGAAGTGTCCATTGCGTCGCAGGTGAGTGCAGAAAGCCCTCATCAACTCAAGAAGAATTTATCTTGCAGAACCAAGACCAAGAGCTCAAGATTTCAAGCCCAAGGGACGCGGATGAATATTAAAATTGTGAAAATAGTAATGCTACTTCGTGTAGTGTTACATTTCACGTGGTGTAGCCCCTTGTTGGGTTTTTTTCGAGTCCCTTCGTGGTTGGGGACTCTGTGGTGGTGTACCATCAACCTGGACCTCGGCTCTTGGGGTTTGTAGAGGCTGGGAACCATCTCAATCTCGATACTTCTTGCTAAGTTTGTACTTCTAAGCCTAAAGTGGCAGCTATACCTTGTGCCAGTCAAACTGCCATACCGTTGTCAAATCTTTATGGAATTTCATGATTCAACTTGCTGCTGATACGCGACAGCAACGCGCTCCAGAAACATTTTTTAGATCACCGTTTGATTCAGCAATCAGATCATTATCATTATTTGAAGCCGTCTGATGGAAATCTGACTGTGCTTTCTATCTCTCATTTTAGGCACATCTGAGCCTATTGTGATTATAACACATTCCCTGGAGGTTGAGATCCAGCTCGGGTAACCGTACACGATTGGTTAACTAATTGTGCTATAATACAGGGCCATTTATGTGTCCTTGCTGTCGTGTCAGACCCTTGGGCTTCTCAAAGTTGGGTTGCTGGTCAACGGTCAAGAATTGTTGCCTCCGCAACTTGACTAAGGTGCATATTGGTTAGGGGTTATGGCGCACTTGCTGGAAATCGGACCATGCCACGTAGCTGAAGTGTTCAACCAGGAAAACGTTGAAATGGTCGAAGGAAATACACGTATTTGTACTACTCTCTATGTTCCATCAAGAGCCCTTCTATCCACTCAACAAGAAGCATAATGCACTCCAAATTGCTTGACCCCCCACACACACCCATAATGCCAAACCAACAATGGGTTGGAAATGATGGAGTCAAGCTAAACTCAATAATGCTTAGACTTGGCCCTTTGTACCCCAAATTAGCCTTCTCACTTGGGAAAAAACACCCACCATCACTACACCTCACATCACTTTTTATATCTGCATTTGTATTTCCAACACTCCCCCTTGATGGTGTATGTTTTGATTCAGCCAAAAACGAGGTTGTATCTCTGCTGACCTGGATCGATTGACCCTTCGTCAAGGCACGCGAACACACCCCGCTTAGGGTTTGGTCTTCTGAGACGCGTACCACCACCAGATCTCATTTTTGACTTCTACTCCCCTTCCTCACAAAGCTCCCCCTAGCTCTCAAGGAGCTCGTTCCTAACAACAATCAGTGAAAATCGACACCCACGTAGACATGCGCACAAAACGCGTGGTGTACACGACTTGTACCCTGGTGCAGAAAGATATAGCAAGGGGGGATGTATCAAGGAACGTCTGAAAGGGGCTCCTGACGCCTGCCCTGGATAACACGAAACCAATTCAACTTGGGCGAATTAAAGCCGCGGTGCAAATATAGCCAACGAGGTTCAATTGTTTATAAGTTGAAAGTCTAGGTTACCCGGTGAGGCAATGCTGAGCTCGCCAAAAGCCGTGCAAAAACTTGAACCATAATGGTGCACTGCAAACCTCGAAAGTTGTCACTCTGCTCTTCGTGCGTTTGATTCCCCTCGCCTTGTTTCCTTCCCCCGAGCACATTTCGTTTCCCCCCTAAGCCCCCTACCCCGCCCTCACTTACCCACTTCTTAAGGGGCAATTTCGATTCCGCATCAGGGCTCAATCATTTCTGCCAGCAATGGATTTCAAAATGTTTTTAACAACCTGCCCACAAAACTCCCCCTGCCTTTCCCCCCTATCCTGCAACATCCACCTCAAACCCACAGGCAGGACCAAAATCAAATTACAGTGTGGCGAAATCACCGAATTCCCAACCAATCACGTGCTTCCTTCTTTTCATACCACCTTGCTAAACTCGCCAACTTCTTCTTCTTCTTCTTCTTCTTCTTCTTCTTCTTCTTCTTCTTCTTCTTCTTCTTCTTCTTCTTCTTCTTCTTCTTCTTCTTCTTCTTCTTCTTCTTCTTCTTCTTCTTCTTCTTCTGGCAACATTGCTGTGCATCTTGTAACTGGAGCGATTTCGCAATTTAGTGCCACCAGGTGCACGCATCGCTGGGTGGCTGGTGTCCACGTGGGAGGCATTCGCGCTGGACACAGCTCATGCGTTTCACGGACTCAGTATGCTCCGTTAACACTTGACAGTACATTTTTCTGGCGTTACGTTTGGAAACCGTCTGAAACCCAAAACGTACGTGCTGGACACGCCCTAGCAAGAATTAGGCCAATCCTGAGTTGGAATTGCTGACACGCATTGTACCGTCTGACCCCCCCCTTTCTCCTCACAATTTTGAGAAATAAGAGACCGACTGCTTGCAGCAGCAGGAGCTCCCTTCCTTTTTCATCAGCTCGTCACTCCCCATAGAATCTTCATAGCAGATCCGCCGCTGCGCATTTCGCTTGCTGTTGGCGGCAAAATCCTTGCTGCAAGGGCGAAATTCTAGCTTTTGCTTGGCAAAATACTTGGGGCAGTGACGGATGCTACAGGTATTCGCAAAATTCTTGCTTCGGTGGCGAAATGCCGGCTTCAGTCCCAAAATTCCAGCTTCTATCCCAAAATTCCACCTTCCATCCCGAAATGCCAGCTCCTGGTGCTAGGTCATGACAAGTTGCGGTGGCTGGAAAAATGCAATGGGCAAGACCGAAATGCTTATGCAGTCATGAAATTCCAGCTGCAATGGCAAGATATTTGCTGCAGCTGTGGAATCCATGCTGTAGTAGCGAAATCTTGGTTGGCTCCAATATGTTGCTGCTGATTTAGAAATTTCCGCTGCAGGTGACGCCTTCTTGCTGCTCCTAGTACAAGATACTTCGAGATGCATCTGCAGCAGCTGCTACTCCTTCGAAATACTTCCAAGCGCATCTGCAGCTGTGGAAAAATGGTTCTGCAGTCATGTCGAAAGGCTACAGCCGTGGCGGAATACATCAGCAGTTGGTAGGAACGACAACTACTGGCAGAATCTGCTGCGGCTGACGGTGAGTGAGTGCAGAACCATGCAGAGATTTCGGTATGACAGATTGCAAGGTTGATGACAAACATCTCTGTTTACTCCCCTTGCCTTGTGCCGGCATGCCTTGCAACGGCGTGGTGCACTAGGCGAACGGGTAGAGAGGCCACACGTATCTCCTCAACATAGGTGAGGGAACACTCATGCTCACTCGCACATTATGGTATGAGTGTTCCCTCATGGTATGACGATAATTCACACGGTAAGGCACTCATGCATGAGGGAACACTCATGCTCACTCGCACCATGATGCTTCACAAGGTGCACATCATGGTATGACGATGCATCACACGGTAAGGCAGCCTTGGCGTGCCCTTGCTGAGGTGTCGTGCCGGGAGGAATTGGTTGAAGGCCGTCGCTGAGAAGGCTGCAGGTGAGATGCTGCTTTGCGATCACTGGTTTGGTCAAGTGGTCTGCTGCTTACTGCGTGGTAGGGCAGTACTTGAGCCTTACCATCCCATCACGAATTGCATTTCGAGTCCAGCGGTGTCGCACCTCCATGTGTTTAGTCTGCTGGCTTATCTCCTTCCAAGTTCCAAGAGCAATGGCACTTTGGTTTGTGCAGTGGTAAACCCAAGTCTTCACAGGTAGCCGTCGCAGATGGGCTGCTTCCCTAGCGCCCTCAAATATGGCAATGTACTCTGCTTCTGTTGTTGATATAATAATCACTATCTGTTTCTTGGTTCTCCAACTAACAGCTGCCCCTCCCAGCGTGAACACAAAGCCTCCAACCGAATGAAACGTCCTCGTCCGCATAGTCAGAGTCGGTGTAACCCCGTAGTACTGCATCTCCATTCCCATAGACAAATCCAATATCAGCGGTATTCTAGAGGTACTTGAAGAAAAATATTGGATCCCCATCACAGTCTCAAGAGTTGGCTTGCTCGCTTATAACGCCAGCACATGGTAATGTCTAGCTTCCCCGCAGTCCCAACCTGTCTCAAAACCAGCTGCCCATCCACCTGGTCAGGTGGCTCCCCCTAAAATCCTGGTTTAGTTTTAATGGGAGTCCGAACCCTGGAATGGTCACCCTTTATTCCGAAGCTCGCCAATGACTGAGAGATGTACTTAGAGAGTCCAAGTGAGATCATGCCATCAATGGCAGAGATGTTCGGTCCCAAGAACTGGGACATCTTTGTGTTGAGTGTCAGGGTGGAATTCCGTTTCAAGTGACGAATCACCTCTTGTATGCCATCCTCATCGTCCGACTGGATTAGGATGTCATCGACATAGGTCAGGAGCCACACATTGTCCTTTTCTTGGCGCTTCAAGATGAATAACGCCGGATCAGACTCATATTGCATCATGTTCAGCTCCATCAAGACGCCCCGCAAGTGCTGATGCCATAGTCGAGGTGCTTGCTTCAATCCGTAGACACTACCTCGCAGCTTCCACGCCTTGTCCCGATCAAGTTGAGGCTTAGGTGGTCGAACTTACACATCTCTGTCGATTGGAGCATAAAGGAAGGCATTGGAAATGTCCAACTACACCACTTTTCGATTTTTTGCTGCTGCTCCTGCAACAAATAGACGAGAAGTTGGACCTTGGCTGACTAGAGTTTATGTCTCATCATAGGTTCACCATGTTTGCCCGCACCCCTTAACCAACAAGCGTGCCTTGAAGCGACTCGAATGCCCCTGATAATCTCACTTCACCCTAGAGACTATTCCCTCTATCAAAATCGAGAGAGCCTTAGGCATGCCCTCCCTATCCACCACGATGATGCTCCAAGTTCATCAAAATTGTCCAACTCTGTGTCCACCGCTACAAGCCAAAATGGTCCAAATGGGTCTTTGTCACCGTCATCAAGTGTCTTCGGCTCCTTGTAGGTCAAAGGGATCAGGTTCACTCCTGCTGTTGCACACCTCAACATTTGTTGCTGTGAGTCAGAATGTGAGATGGCTCCCAACAATATCTCCCAAACTATTCGAACAACTTGCTTCGACGTCCAGGCCTGTCATCTGCTTCTCCTCCCTCTCCCCTTCTTCTCCAAACACCGTCACTGTAGGATTAAACTGACCCTGCCACTACGTCCCACACTGTCCTTTAGCAAGCGGGATCCCTGTGGGTCGATGGGCAAAGTCGTAGAGACGACTCGTCTCCTTCGTCGCATCAGTGTTCTCCACTCCTCAAGTTATTGATAATCCTGCTGGCGGGAGCTTTGCTGCCGCATGTTCATTCAGCTCGTCCCCTAGAGAGGTATCTGCATCTGAGGCATCTCTTGCAGGAAGGATGCTATTGCAGTCGAGATGGACTGTCCCTCAACTGTCGAATCTACCAGGGCCATGGCGTTCAGGACAAGGCAGAAGCTAGCGCACACCCTGTAGTTGCTGGCGTAAAAATGTTACGAACCAAGGCAACTAATCCCCCCCGACCACCCTTCACTGATTGAAAAAAACAAAAGGTTCTTGGAAAGTTCGTGCTCTGATACCAGCTGTTATGATATAGGAAGTGTCAATGAATAATAACATGAGAATACAAGGTCGCTATTGCAATGAAGGCGCGAGGTTGTATAGGGGTTGGTGTGCTAGGGAAATAACCTTGGAACGTGGGTAGGTTCGGCAATGTTGCGACAGTGCTGGACGCAACTCGGGAAAGGGTTGGGAAAAAAAACGAGTATTATTGTGCCGTGTGGTATTGCATGCATAATTATTTCTAAATCACTCCGTTTTTTTCATGTCCATGTCGCGCTTCAGAAATATGTTCATCGCACGATCGCGCACGTGGCATCGTTTACGGCCAGTTTATCGAATCCTACTGTACGACAGGGTTTCGGGCCAGAAAATGTTTTCTGGGACAATCAGCTTTCCTGGTGTCAGACAAGTGGTGTGCAAGGTGTCATATATTTCCCACACCTCGTCAATGTTGGTGCCGAGCCTTACAGGTAAACAACGCGCTGCCACAACTCGTGCTCGTGCTGCCACAAATCATGCTGAGGCAAGGTTGCATTCATACAGCCACTCACCAGACGACAAACAAACAGAATTTCGTCGCGTCGCGAGCCACAAAGGCGAATGGAAAAACGCCACGCATTTATTTGAGTAGGGCCCTTAGAAATATACGCATGGGCCATATTCCCCTAGTGCAAACTCCAAGAATTTTGGAAGGAGGCACTTAGCGAATAGGGCGGTACGCCCCGGCAAATTTGCTTGTAGCGTTTCCAAGAAAGTAGGAGCACTGTTGTATGCGCAGCTGGTAGGGGCGGGGACACTGTCATATGCGCAGCTAGCAGGGGTGGGGACGCTGTCGTTAGCTGCGACAGGGTCCACGTAGGCATGTCGCGAGGTGTTCGCATGGCGTCTCCTCTTTGGGTTTCAGGTGCGCGCGCTAATTAATTGATGCGTTGCCACAAGAGCAAAAAAAGATTTGCCTCGTATCCTTTAATTGATTCGACTTTAGACAGATTCAAAATTATATGAAGTTGGAAACACCAAATAACAACGTAAAACAACGATAAAAAATACCACCATTTCAAAACTACAGCACACTTTGACGAGGAGGAGTACGTGGCGAAACACCACATGATTTTGTCACCGTAGATGGTGTGCGCCTATCGGTTGGCATGGTGTTTCCATGTCAGATCGTGAGTGGGTGGATTGCAAGAGTGAGATTTGTTGGCGTTTCTTATTCATTGCGATCGCAAATTGGCCCTGACCGCTCAGTAGCGCATTGACGTGGATCACACGATTTCTAATGGTGACGCCAATTTTTTCACATGTTGTCTGCACCTGTTTTCATTGGCCGGGTTGCGTACGCAGATGTTGCACCTACTGAATAATTGCATCTGCGAAAAATTTGCGCTTGTCGTCGTTGCACCAGTCGCATATGCTTTGTACGTTGAATAGACCCCTAAAATTACCAACATCTTATACTTTAGCAGGTATCACGTATGATTTGCCTTCTGATATGTTGTTTCCATATGGCATTATACAAGTGATATTTGTAGTGTTCTGATCACTATCCCTAGGATACTTTTCTGAGCATTCTACTAAAATCAATGATAAACACGTGGCTTGTATGCGTACCTATATTCGTTGTTTGTGCTCACGACACGACGAACATATTTGAAATGTTCGTCGTCAGCTGAGTGGCTCTATGAATGTGTTGTCCTGTCAGCAAGAATTGTGGCAGCGCGAAGAAAGCTGTACAGTACAATCAATCTATACAGATCAGTAGACCCCTAGATTTTGGACGCCCAGTGTCGCGGGATCGAATGGGTCGAGGAAGTTGCCCTATCGATTGATACAAGGCGCTTTTATACTTCCAAGGTACATCAAGTAACCAGGTTTATCCTATCCAAAGGGAATAGACTCTTCTAGAAATAGAATCACCCTGCGTATAGCCACACGATGCTATTGACTTAAAGGGATTGCGGCAGGATTACGCTATATATAGCGTGCCAATACATCCCGAGCCTGGTCGGTGATATAATTATAATAATAGGATAAACCAAATGATAATGGAAAATGAGGAATAGGAACCCAAATGAGATGAGATAAAGACCATATGAATGAGGATAAAAAGAAGAATGAGATAGAGGAGAAAAATGGAAAGGAGAAAGAAGTGTAACGGGGTCGTACTCTCACATTTCCCCCCCTCAAAGCTGAGTGGTAGAAGTAACACCCTGCTTGACAAAGTAGTCGCAAAGAGGACGACGAGCGTTACTCATCTCTGATTTAGGGACCCAGCTATCCTCTGACGGATCATAACCCTTCCGATGAATGAGAAGCTCCACGGTGCCATTTCGATGACGGTGGTGTGCAAGCATGGACTCAACCTCGTACTGGGGTATATCGTGGACGAGGACGGGCGGCGGCAGCGGCAGTTGGGATCCGTTGAAGACCATGTTAGGATCTCTGTAGGGCTTCAGAAGTTGGACATGGAAGGCGTTGTGAATCTTCCAAGTAGCTGGCAGGTGTAAGCGGAAGGTAACAGGAGTGACCTGTGCTTCAATGAGAAAGGGCCCACAGAAGCGAGGTCGCAGTTTGGATGGGAGATGACTGATGTCGAGATTGCGGGTGTCGAGTAGAACTCATTCTCCCACTATGATGGTGTGGTCGTTGCGGTGACGATCGGCCTGGCGCTTCTGTTGCTGCTGAATGTCGAGGAGGCGCTTCTGGGTCTGATCCCAAAACTGATGCATGGTTGTGATGAAGTTGTGTGCGGGTTGGACTGTGGCTGATACTGTTGGTTTCTGCGGCGTGAGCAGGTGGCGTTCATAACAGAGTTGGAACGACGTCTGTCCAGTAGCGGCG